GGTAGAATTGCCATTTTACTATGTTGATCCAAGAGCAAGGGATATCCTTCCATTTTCTGGTATCCTCTTCAATTTCTTTCTTCAAAGACTAAGTTCTTGTCAAATAGATCTTTCACTTCCTTGGTTAGAGTTACCTCAAGATATTTTATGCTATTTATGGCTATCATGAAAGATGATACTTCTCTGATTTCCCGCTTTGCTTCTTTATCCTTTTGCTTCTTTATCCTTTGTGTATAGGAGGGCAACTGATTTTTTGGAGTTAATCTTGTATCCTGCTACATTATTAAAGGTGTTTATCATCTGTAGGAGATCTTTGGTGGAGTTTTTGGGGTCACTTATGTATACTATCATATCTTCTGTAAATAACAAAAGTTTCACTTCTTCCTTTCCAATTCGAATCCCCTCAATCCCCTTATGTTGTCTTATTGCTATCACTAGAACTTCAATCACTATATTGAAGAGATATGGAGAGAGTGGACAGCCTTGTCATGTTCATGATTTTAGTGGGATGGCCTTGAGTTTTTCTCCATTTAATTTGATGTTGGCTGTGGGCTTGCTGTAAATAGCTTTTATTATATTTAGGTATGAACCTTGTATCCCTAATCTCTCCGAGACTTTTATCATAAAGGGGTGTTGAATTTTGTCAAATGCTTTTTCAGCATCTAATGAAATGATCATGTGGTTTTTTTCTTTCAGTTTATTTATATGATGGATTGCATTGATAGATTTTTGTAGGTTGAACCAGCCCTGCATCTCTGGGATGAAGCCTACTTGATCATAATGGATAATTTTTCTAATGTGTTCTTGGATTCAGTTTGCCAGTATTTTATTGAAAATTTTTGCGTCGATGCTCATGAGTGAGAATGGCCTGTAATTCTCTTTCTTGGTTGAGTCTTTATGTGTTTTTGGTATCAGGGTAACTGTAGCTTCATAAAGGGAATTTGGCAATGACTCTTCTGTTTCTATTTTGTGAAATACATTAAGGAGTATAGGTATTAAGTCTTCTTGGAAGTTCTGGTAGAATTCTGCATTGAAATCATCTGGTCCTGGGCTTTTTTTCGAAGGGAGATTTTTGACAACAGCTTCTAATTCTTCGCGACTAACAGGTCTATTTAGATTGTTTTCCTGGTCTTGGTTTAACTTTGGTATGTGGTATTTATCTAAAAAAGTCTATTTCTTTTACATTTTCCAGTTTTGTAGTATACCGGCTTTTGTAGTAAGATCTAATGATTCTCTGAATTTCCTCTGTGTCTGTAGTTATGTTCCCCTTTTTGTTTCTGATCTTATTAATTTGCATATTCTCTCTCTGCCATTTGATTAGTTTGAATAGGGGTTTGTCAATCTTGTTGGTTTTCTCCAAGAACCAGCTTTTTGTTTCATTGATTCTTTGGATTGTTTTCTGTGTTTCTATTTTGTTGATTTCAGCCCTCAGTTTGATTATTTCCAGTCTTCTACTCCTGCTGGGTGAGTCTGTTTCTTTTTTTTCTAGAGTTTTCAGGTGGGCTGTTAAGTCTCCAGTATGAGCTTTCTTCGTTTTCTTTAAGTGGGCACTTAGTGCTATGAACTTCCCTTTTAATATTGCTTTTATAGTGTCCCATAGGTTTGAGTGTGTTGTGTCTTTATTTTCATTAAATTCAAGGAAGACTTTAATTTCTTTCTTGATTTCTTCCTTGACCCAGGTGTGGTTCAGTAGTTGACTGTTCAGTTTCCACGAGATTTTAGGCTTTCTGGGGTTTAGCATTGTTGTTGAATTCTAACTTTAATCCATGGTGATCCGATAAGACACAGGTGGTTACTAATATTTTTTGTATCTGTGGAAGTTTGCTTTGTTACCCAGTATGTGGTCAATTTTGAGAAGGTTCCATGAGCTGCAGAGAAGAATGTATATTCTTTCCTTTTTGGGTGTAATGTTCTATTCATGTCTGTTAAGTCCATTTGATTCATTACCTCTAGTCTTACAGAAAGTAATAAAAGGAAAAATCACAACCCAAGGTATCCAACATTGCCAACATTGCCTACAATAACTCAGACATCTAGCAACCCTTCACCAGCACAACTCAAAGAAGGGAAACACACAAACTCTACTACAAAAAAAAATAACCAGAGTCAACAACTACTGGTCATTAATATCACTTAATGTCAATGGACTCAACACACCTATAAAAAGGCACAGGCTAAGAGACTGGATACAAAATCAGGATCCACCATTCTGCTGTTTATAAGAAACACACCTCAACCACAAAGACAGACATCTACTCAGAGTAAAAGGTTGGGAAAAGGTTTTTCAAGCAAATGGTCCTAAGAAACAAGCAGGCGTGGCCATACCAATTTCTAACAAAATGGACTTCAAACTAAAATCAATCAGAAGAGATCAAGATGGACATTTTATATTCATAACAGGAACAATTCATCAGGATGAGGGCTCAATCCTGAATATATATGCCCCTAATATAAAAGCACCCACTTATGTAAAAGAAACATTACGGTTCAGTGCTCCCCTGTCCAACCTTCCTTTATCCCAATCCTCCTGGAGGGGGGAGGACCTAGGACTTACCACAGGGCAGAAAACCCTGACTGCTCTTTGGACTGGAGAGGGGGAAAGGAGTGGGGGGAGGGGGAGAAGGGTGGGAGGAAGGGGAGAAGGGTGGGAGGAGGGGGATGGAAATGGGAGGCTGGGAGGAGGTGGAAACTTGTTTTTTTTTCCTCCTTTTCTCAATAAAAAAAAAAGAAACATTACTAGAACTCAAGGCAGACATCAAACCACACACACTAATAGTAGGAGACTTCAACACACTCTCTCACCAATAGACAGGTCAATCAGACAGAAACCTAACAGAGAAATAAGAGAATTAATGGAGGTAACTAATACAGTTTTAACACATGGGTTCATAACTGATTGGTGTTATTCTGAAATAGTCTTATAGAGAAATACTAAAATGCAACTATTTAAAGACTGAAAATTTATGTAAGAGATGTACTGCTTAATTTACTAAACTTTTTGTACAATTGAAAACTCTAAAGATATATAACCCCACCTTGAATGAGAGTGAATTCCAGAAACTTGACTGTTGTAGAATGAAGAGTTGTGACTTAGAGATAACTTCTGCCATTCTTATTACCAATTTTTATGTCTCTGAGTTCCCAGAGCACCATAGGCAACCAGAATGATGTTGTTTATCTTGCAGTAATCCAGCAGCTTGCTCTGGTTATAATAAGGATGACATTTGACCTGTAAACAGAATAGGAAGGTATAAAATAATTTAAAATCACTTATTCATATCAAAGAAATATTAAAGGGAAGGAAGCTGAATAAAATAGTCAATATTAGCATGAAATTTAAATTGAGAGTTCCAATACCATGTCATGATATTTTCAAATAAATTTGATATCTCTCTTGGGAAGTTAAAATAAAATAACATTCTTGAGATTCAGTAACCTCATGGGCTAGATCTTTGATGCTAAATACCATTTTTTTCCGTGGGAGACATGACAAGTTCTATGAACACAAAGGGCTTTGAATAATGACTAAAGCAAGGATATGGTCAAATATTCCGTTGAGATAAGGTCTGAAAGAGGACAGGAAGTTGTTAGAAATTTAGCCTGAGACACTGAGTGGATTTTTGTATTGAAAGAAAAATAAATAAATTACAGAGAAGGAAAGAGGGAGGGAGGCACACACAGAAAGAAAAAGATACATATTCACTTCTGCGTGGATGTTAAGCTGTTGAGTCAATGAAAACCAAATTACATTCCAAAAAACATTAACCAGTTATGGACCCATGTGTTAATACTGTAATTGTTAATGATCATCTTTTTTTCATGATAAAACTGGTTGGAATTATATCTAATGGGTCATCTTACAACCATTTTCTGAGCCAGTTTGGAAAAGATACATAGAGAAAGAAGGTGGAGTCAATGAGAAGCCATGTAACCAGAGCCTTTGTTGGAGAGCACAGAAAATTGCCAGTAGGCCATGACCTCATGGTGTTGCACAAATTAATGGAGATGGGGTTATTTTAGGAAATAAAAGCTAGCTATAAATAGGCTTAAATTATTTTCCAAACAGTATTGCAAATAATATAGTTTCTATGGGATTATTTTGGATTGGAGCGGCTGAAAATAAACAAATAGTACCTGGCAACACACACCTAGCACATATGCACAAATATTTCAAAATTACCTAACAAACAAGTTCTATAGAAATGTCTGAGTCCCTTTGCTTGTTATAAAATAATACCCAGCAGTTGTCAATGGTTTATCAACCACGATGCACTATTCTGTGTTGTCCCCTTTATGCATTTCAGGATTGTATTTGAGACAATAATAACGGAAAAATACAGGAAAAAATTTCAGAAAGACTAACCTTTTATATTTTAATTATTAATTAAATTTAATGTGGAGTATTATTTTTTTTACATGTCCAATTGTGGCTTCTTTGTTCTTTGAATATGTTTCTATGTTGAGTGTCAGCTAATTATTTCCAATAATACATGGCCAAGTAGAGGCTTCATAATGACCAAATGAAAATAAATGTCTGAAGTAGTATAATTATTCAATCAATCTCTTCTCCTCAAATATAATGTATGCAATAATAAAGAGACCATTACAGGAAACAAATACTTTATCAGTATATAGTAATTTGTTTAAAATTCATCCTTCATATGAAAATGCATGGCTTCCTTTCTTACATGGTATGTAATAATTTAACTTTACTGACTTCTTTCTGTTGGCTGACCATTAGACAGGTAATACAAATATTACAAAGTAGGTATAGAGCAATATTGTTTAACCATTAGCCTAACAGTAGTAGCACCATTAATCGTCATTAGCTAGGGTGTAGAAAGATTTAAACATTAGCCACTAAGTAGGAACGGTTAACCACCAGAATGGGAGTGCCACTTGTTAGCCATTATATAGGAAGCTGATATATGATGATTACCAACTTCCCCTTCAAGGCATCAGAAGATTCAGGACGTGCCTAGGCAGAGGAGTGACAGACCATGAGTTCCAAGCAGCAGTTTGTCAAACTAAACGATGGCCACTTCATTCATGCCCTGGGTTTTGGAACCTGTAAATCCCAAGAGGTAAGATTCTAAGTATTTCCAGGCCAGAGCTATTCTATGTACAAGAAGGCAAATAGTTAGGCTTGACATAAATCAGTGTTTCATTGAGACCACACTTGTTTATTATTCCTGTTAAATAGAGGTTGGAGCAGTGGCTGCAATTGGTGGCTGTGGGTAGGAGACTAATCTGTTTCCCTAGATAGGCTGAGTCATGATTCTGTCAGAATAGTGTCTTTATTCATGCTTGCCCTGCTCCTGGTAAGCCAGGAGCCATGCAGGAGAAAAAAGAGAAAGTTTAACTCTTCAAATATTTTTTTTTTGATCATGGGTGTTAGTGTTGTATATGATAGAGCTACAGGGCACAAGCCTCAGAGGCATTGGGACATTTACTATAACTCAATCTTGGACTTCAGGAATAGAGAGAAAGATTGTTTATGATCTCTGGTTATTCTTGCTGGAGACTAGGCTCTCTGGTCTTAGCAGAATGTGGCCGAGTCTTTTTTCTTGCATTTGCTTTTCAGGCCCAGACCTGCCTGTGAGTTTACTGTTCTGGTTTGGGGCATGTCAACTCTAAGAGTGAACTTGAAATGAATCTTCAGGCTATAAACTCCAAGCTTAATGGGATATATCCATGACTTAACAATTCTGGGCACTGTGCTTTTCCTATGTCTGTTTCTTGACTTGAAAGAAGAGAAGAAAGTCACCAGATTGCCTATCAGTGTTATTGGTTGCAGTGAGAGGGACTTCTCTGTTCATGTCTACAATCCACAGCATGTTATTTTCTTTCAAGAATGCAAGATCCTTGGAAATCAGTGTGGTAACTCAGGGTGCCTCGCTGTAATACTTGTGCATGATACAAGTATTTGAGGGCTACTTCAGTTTTGTTTTGGAGTAGCCTTCTGCACCACACAGTGAATGCTGTACTAGAGCTAAGTAAGGTCCCCCATGTACAAATTCTGAACTATAGGAAACTTACTGAAACTTATAATATATCCTTATTTTTGGGGGAAAGAGGACCTGGTAACCATAAGTGTGAATTACTGGTCTTTATTAATGCATGTTGGGTTTAGAGCATGGTGGTCTCCAGAACTGAAACTATCAAGGTGTACTGTTTCTTAACCTAAAGGGAATTTCTTGTTTGTAAACTTCCTGAAACTTTTAAATTCTGTGACAAAAACTCATTTCCCTTAACTTCAAATTCACCCAGTTTATTCCTATTAGATTTATTTATATTTACCTAGATGATTCTGGATATATACAGGATTAGTTACTTTTCAAGGTGGCAAAAGAAGAAAGAAAGACAGCAACAAGTCAAGGGTCCTGATAAAACTTCAGTGCTGGTAACTCATAGAGTGACTTTGTTTTTAACTCTGTCAGAGCTGGTACCAGAGAAAGTGGTACCAGGCAGAATTTCAGTTACTGTGGTTTATTGTGAAAGATAACTGTAGAAATTGTTAAAATAATAAAAAAAAATGTAGTCTGCCTTTCTTCTCAACCCCTTTGCATGTGTTGTATGACTACATATGTTTGTGCTTTTGTGCACATGTGTGTTTATGCCAGAGGTAAAAGTCTGACTAAACTGCTCTCACTTTATTTTTGTGAGGTAGGGTGTCCCACTGTATCTGGAACTCAGGGATTCAGCTTGACTTGCAGTCCAGTGAGCTCCACGGATCACCCTGACTTTGTTTCCCCAAGCACTGGGTCTACACGTGTGTGCCACTGTGCCATACTCCCCTTTTACTTGATGGCTGGGGTCTGAACTAAGATCCTGAGACTTATTAGCAAACACTTTATTGAATGAGACATCTTCCCAGTTTACACATTAAATTCTTTAATAAAGAACTGTCATATCTTTATCCAAATCTCACAGTCAAGGCAATACTCTTAGATTTAATTTCAATCATATCTTTGTTAAGCAAGTTATCTTTGGTTGAAAGGGCTGACACACCAAATGAATAATCTCCAATATGATGTTCATAATTTATTTTAAGGAGAATATATTCCTAGAGTAGGGTTTTTTTTCTCTGCCTGTATTTAGTTCTCGCAGACAAAGAAAATGGATATACACAAAGACCAACATAAGATACTGTTCTCTGTTCAAATCCCTATTACTAACTTGGTGTTGTGTGGTATCTGAGATCTTTGCTGTCTCATGATTATGTGACAGTGTCTTAGCTGGAGTCAAGGAAGATTGTCTGTGTAATTTTGCTTGTCCCAAGAAGACTTCTTTTTGTTTATTTTGCTTAGTAACCTCACAGTATAAATTGAGTGTGACTTCCAAGCAAACATTTGAACCCAGTATGAGCTTGGCATTGATAAATGCCAGTAAGAGCCATGATTGCATGGGTATAACGAGATTTTTTTGATTGTGAAAGTCTTGCTATTAATCAGGAAATACCCCAAGAAAGTAGATCTTGGCTCATTGTCTCCAATGGGGGGCAAAATATAGGCAAACAATGACTCTATGAAGAGTCTTAGTTTTCTGTGACATGTACAATATTTCTGTAGAATTCCTTATGTTTTATAAAATAAAAAGTGGGAATTCAAGGATCAGGGGACTAGGCTCTTGCCTAGTAATCTAAGGGTGACTTTGAAAGACCAAATTCTTTCTGGTCTGGTAAACTCCCATCTAGGCTCACTCTGAGTTAGCTTTCTGAATGTGCATCTCTAAATACCTCTTTGGGTTGTTCCTCTAGGTTCCTAATAGCAAGTCACTGGAGGCCACCAACCTAGCTATAGGTGTTGGGTACCGCCATATTGATACTGCTTTTGCATATCACGTGGAAGAGGAAGTAGGGCAGGCCATTCAAAGCAAGATTAAAGCTGGCGTTGTAAAGAGAGAAGACATGTTCATCACTACAAAGGTAGAGTTTTTATAGCATGCAAGTGTGCAAATCATTAAAATATAAGGAAGGGAAAATTAAATTACTTGATCAGAAGTTGGTTAAAGGTGTCTGTTGTGTAAATGGGTTAGAGAAAGTAATTTTCAATTATAATCTCTATGAAAAATAATTCAGTTTTTGAATGTTATTAATGGTATGTTTTTATTTCTTGAGTAATATCCTTTCATTGTTCAATGAGTTAACAATTACAAAGAATATATAAGCAACTTCACATTGTTAAGTATGAGTTAAGTAAATTCTGGATTAAAGGTAATGATTATGACTTTCCTTCAAGTACAAAAAATATTGTAGTATTAGGATAAACAGGTATTCATGTTTGGGCAATGAATTAATTAATCACAATTTCTCATCCTCAACTTCTGCAGCTTTGGGGTACTTGCCTTCGACCAGAACTTGTTCAACCTAGTTTGGAAAAATCACTGGAAAGACTGCAACTGGACTATGTTGATCTTTACCTTATACATTACCCAGTACCATTGAAGGTAGGTGATTGTATTGTCAAGTGTACATATTTTTTTCATGGGGCATGGATATCATTTTTATGGATGGTTGAGACAATTTTCCATTATAATTTCTTATAACTTTTTGTTACTAAACTTCTGAGTAGGTTCCACAAAGGGCTTACTAGATTGTGAAATGAGGTATCCAAGAAATGGTCAGAATCACAGATTAGAATTAACTTCCAGAAAATCTTGTATTTACACATCTTTAACATTTATTTGTATTACTGGATGTTTGCTTGGGTCTTATCCCAATTTTCTCCCTTGGTGGCAAGCGTGGTCCTAAGAGAGTTTCAGCTTCAGGGTCATTGACTCTTTATGACTTCTCAGAGAGAGGGCAGGGTACCCTGCCCTGTGGGAAGTCCAAGGCCATCACCCCTCCATTCAGGCTTAGGAAGGTATGCATCCAAGTAGAATAGAATCCCAAAAAGCCAGTACATGCAGTAGGGACAAATCCCAGTGCCATTCTCATTGGCTTCTCATTCTGCCCCAATTGTCAACCACATTTAGAGGGACCAGTTTGAGCCCATGCTCATTCAGTCCCAGTCCAGCTGGATTTGGTGAGCTCTCATTAGCTCAGGCACACTGTCTCAGTGGGCTTCTCTTTATCTTTTCTTATCACAATCAATCTTGTACACTGTCCTGATTGGCCATTCTTTGCTCACATGCCTGCCCTTGTGCCCACAGGCATTCATATTTATTATTTATTCTGGGATAGGATTGATATAAATTCTTGCTGGCATTCAAGGCCATGCAATGACTGGGCTTCTCAGTGAGTATGAAACATTTTCCTTTTTTCCTGAAAGAAGCAGTAAACAAAAATTACAAGACAAAAGAATGCAATACATTATTAAACAAATGTTCCACAGCATAAACAAACGTAACACACTTTAAAATAACATTTTACAACAAGAAACCATTGCTTAATCACTGATCTATCTCTCCATCTCCTTCAAGATATTCTTAAAAACATTACTATTGGTGAGACCTGTTTTGTGAGATTTTCTTAACAAGCATTTCTCTTCCAGCCAGGGGATAATGATTTCCCAGTAGACGAACAAGGGAAATTATTATTGGACACAGTGGATTTTTGTGCCACGTGGGAGGTGAGTACTTTTCAAAGGAAAAATAAACCAAGCAGAGGGAGGGTGAATCAGTCTATTTTCCCATAAGTATAGAAATTTATTTATATGCATACTTATCATATGTAGTATATCATACTCAATTTTAAGAGAAATCCTATAAATTTCTATTTGGCTGATACTTTATTCTTCATTATCACCTTTATCTTCTTCATATTTAAGTCCTGTGATCATCTGGGCAATGTACCCCTTCACACCTTTTTTTATTTTAATGTCTCTTATCAAACTTAGGACATTGTGCACACTGGCAAGTGCTCTAATATTGAATTATATGTCTAGCTCTAGACAGTTTTCTTTGTAATTGCTATAACTTCTCTTTATATTGATGTAGTCAGTTTACAAGTATGACATTTCATAACCCCTTTCTCATCACCAGGCATTGGAGAAGTGTAAGGATGCAGGATTGGTCAAGTCTATTGGGGTGTCCAACTTTAACCACAAGCAGTTAGAGAGAATCCTGAATAAGCCAGGACTTAAATACAAGCCTGTCTGCAATCAGGTAAAGATTCTTGTTCTCTCCTCATCTTTCATGCTTTTGCTCACTTGTACTACTAACACTTGTTTATTTTCCCTCTGCCCAAGTGATTTTCATACTGTGGAAAAGAAGATTCTGAGAACAGTACCATTGTTTCAAAAGACATGGGGGATTCTAATTTTAACCTGGGACTATTAAAGTATTTGTGAGAATGTATAAGTTCTGAGTTGGTCTAACAGGCAGAAGTTAAGCCCAGGGAAAATTAATCTTCTACCCCACCTAAGAATAATGGGTGAGCTTGGGATACTTTCTTGAAAGACTGAGATGAAATTAAAAAAAAACAACAGCCAAATGGTCAGGACTTATATAAAGTTTAAATGCTTCTCACCATCCTATTACATTCCTTCCTCATGATTTTATTAAGTTTAGCAGCTGGTATCTTTACTTACTTTACTACCTTGCTGACCATTAAGTATGATTTTGAAATAAAATCTTGCCAAGAAAATGATATTAACAGAATCCCTCAAAATAAATTCTTTTGTCCTTCAAGAATAAATGCAACTGTTTGATCTTTTAAATTCAAATGTGATATTGCATATGATTTTCTTTGTCTACTTTATTGGCTTTAAGTTTTAGTTTGTCATAATATGAGCATTTGATATAATCTGATGTCTTTCTCTCATATTCTTTCACAGGTTGAATGTCATCTTTATTTAAACCAGAGTAAGCTACTGGATTACTGCAAATCAAAAGACATTGTTCTGGTTGCTTATGGTGCCCTGGGAACCCAACGATATAAAGAATGGTAAGAAGATGAAGAGTATGCATGAAGCAAGACTGTCATTTAGCATCATGACACTCAGTTCTCAGGGAGAGAGGCAACATTAGAAGAACCATGTGAAACAGAAGTTTGTGGCCCAGGGACTTCTACACAGCCCTTGCATTTTAATTTCTTTTTTTTTTGTTGTTGTTGTTGCTCTGATAAAATACTCAGACAAGAACTACCTCAGGTAGAAAGGGCTGATCACAATTCTAGGGTGCAAAGCATAAGAGCAGGAAGTCAGGGAGTCAGGAGATGAAAGCAGGTGGTCTCTTCACATTGCAATCCAGAAGCAGAGATTGACAAATGAAACTAATGATCTGATCATTTTCTCCATTTATACAGTCCAGGATCTGGGCAAGTGGTCACACCAATAATTAAAATGGGTATTCCCACATCAATTTTCAAAATAAGATAATCTCTCACAGTCATTCTAGAAGCCCATGTTTCAGATGATTCTGGACTTTGTCCAGGTGACATTTATCTGTAACCATCATGTCCATTCTAGAAGGAGTCCTCTACTGTGTGTTGAAGCACCATAACAAAACCAAAACCTTGACCTCGGGGGCTCATTTCTACTTTCTTACTAGGGTGGATCAGAATTCTCCAGTTCTCTTGAATGATTCAATTCTTTGTGATGTGGCCAAAAAGAACAAGCGAAGCCCCGCCCTGATTGCTCTGCGATACCTGATTCAGCGTGGGGTTGTGCCTGTGGTCCAGAGTTTCAAAGAAAATGAGATAAAAGAGAATTTGCAGGTGATGAACTCTGCTCCTTAGGGCTGTTACTTAGTATCTTCCATATGCTTGTTTCCTTCAAATATCCGTTTACTTTTTTGAGATCAAGCCTATATTTCCAGCATTTCTTATGCATGTGAACTTTCAGGTGCATCGAGAAATGTTTTGTCTATGACATAAACAGCAGTATCAACTTGATAGATTTAGTGTTGGAGATGATGTAGAGTTTGCTTTGCCTTGTCAGCCAAGCACTATATATCCCTTTTACATAGACCTCTTCTTTATATTTTGAAATGAGGGATCTGGACTGAGCAATTTTGATTCTAGACTTTTCTATGGTTTAATTTTTAATTCATTGTATGCTCAGGTATTCTAATTCTAGATTCCTGTGAGTTTCCCTTACATCAGGTTTCTGCCTGGCTCCAAAATGTGCCCTTTCAAGTCATCTCTTTCAACACTCTTCCCCACTATCCACCCCAAACCAGGTTCTTCATTTGCCCATCTCCAGCCAACTCCAGTGAGATCTCTTCATTTTTCCCTTCCCCAGGAAATTCATGCATCCCTCCTTGGACCCCTCCTTGTTATGTAGCCTATGTGGGTCTGTGAATTGTAGCATGGTTATCCTTTACTTTACAGCTAATATCTACATGTAAGTGAGCACATTGTCTTGCCTAGCCCCAATACAAGGGGATATTAGTCTTTCCTAAACTTGATATGCCATGCTTTCTTGATACCCATCAGAGGCCTGCCTCTTTCTGAACAGAAACAGAGGAGATGCAGGGAACACGGGGAGGGGAAACTGTCCTAGAGATGTAAAGGAAATGAATAAATTTAATTTAAAAAATTGGTATTAAAACCAGAGCACAGCAATTGAACCAAAGGCACTTCTGATACTTAAGCCTGGCAGGCAACTACAACTGTCTCACTGTTGTAGGCAAGCTTTGCTGGTGTTCCTAGAAATGGTCCTGGAGAAGAATAAGCCCAGTTTTTATAATAAATGCCTGCAGAAGTGATCAGGGGTGAGTGGTTAATGATGTGTTAAATTTATATATATGATAGATATATGTTTCATAAATATATGGTAAATCATATATTAAGTATATGTAGTATTTATCTTATATAAATATATATATATATGCTATAATATGATATATGTGATAATTTGAAAATGATATATATGGATTATTTAAAAGCAACATACGTGCACACACATAAATGAACACTGGTAGTTCAAGTGTAGAACTATGAAAATGCAATAACTTGTAAATCTAGGTAATAAAAAGATGGTATATTTTCTCAAAAAGTATGGGTTATATGTTTGCTGTATTTGCACAGTATCAATAGTGATTGTTAGGCAGATTCAGAAGAGTTTGCTGAATTGCCTTCTCCTAAATTTTGCTTGTTTTCATTCTCTTCTTATTACTTTATGAAAAGGAGGGACCTTTTTCAGTCTTATACTTTCACTATGTGGTTGACCATCACATCTTTTCACTTGTCAGGCAAGAGTTTCCCTTATTATTTTACTAAAGCTTTGTCTTATTACCCCCCAAATTGTTCTCAAAATGTAGTTTTTATAAGTTGTAAAATATGGATCCAGAAAGATATATGTAATTTTAAGTGATTTATTCAGAGTAATTGCATTTTTGAGTTCTTTTCTCTGTTTCATTATTTTCTCTCACTACTCTAATTTTGTGTCTTGCTGGTTTTAGCAGTTCTTAAACTGCTGACAAATTTTCTTGTCCTTCCCTCCACCTTTATCTGTCTCCATATTTTTAAGGCACCAAAGGACTTAAGCCCTGCATGTGTTTAAGATGTGAACTATTAGTGAAAAATCATTTTGAAGTTAAAATGTCTCTAATTAAAATAAGATTCTTTTTTAAGTCAACTCTTTTGTCCTTACATGAACATGTTATAATTAGAATTTAGGTAAATTTTGACTTACAAAATGCTGAAAAGAGCAATTTTTTACTTTTTGAAATTTTGCTCTAGATTTCTTGAAAACTATGTATGTCAACTGTTTTCCCCCCTCAAACTGCATTTGTGATTGTTCTTGTTTAAGGCTTTATGTAATTTTAATATATCTCAAACAATTTTTCTTCATTTTTACTTGGAATTTATTAATCATGAATGTTTTAGTATCCAAAGTCCATTGTTTTCAGAGATGTGTTCTACTGACATTGCTTTTCAGACAAAAGTCTGATTCATTCAAATATTAAAACCTTTGTGTTTTTCTGAAAGGTTTTTGAATTCCAGTTGTCTCTTGAGGATATGAAAACCCTAGATGGCCTGAACAGAAATGTTCGATATCTTCCAACTAAGTGGTAAGTAAACACCTCACCTCAGTTTGTTTCAAGTCCAAGTCTCTCCCCTGCTTTTCCATTCATGATGGTCCAGAAACCTAATGTCCTATTCATCTGTAGCAAGTTTTTCCATGGACATAGTTAGTACAGTACTTATTTCTGAGTATTTGAAAATGTGGATGTGTCATTCTAAAACAAAGAGAAGGTTTTGATAGTCATAGTCTAAAGTAAGAAAAGAATCTTCAGGAAAAAACACTATTATATTTGAGAATTAATAGCTACCAAAAGATCTTTAGTTTCCCTTTATGATCTATGGTTACAAAATTTAATACTGTATATAGGCTGTATTATAAATGAAACCTGCATGTATATATAAATGTATATATTCATCTATTGATCTATCTTTTTGTTTTTTATCTATCTGCATGCCTGTTTGTCATCTATCTATATTTTCTGCTTGTTATAATTTTAATTCTCAATAGAAATAAATATAATTATGTTTGAATGAGGATTAGAAAATCTACAATGCTATGTAAAATTGGTATATATATATTATTCTTAAGATTTCTGTTAGTAAAGAACAGAATGAAGACAAAGGAGAAATATAACTTGGTGATGAGTCATTGTTGTAAGTAATGAATAATTCTTGCCACACTTTAGCAAGTAATGATTTTTATCAATGCATATTTTGGATTGTTATTTTTATGTAGAGTTCTACAAATTATACAGTTATCTCCTTAGACATGGATGCCCATTTTATGGAGGACATTCTTTTCCTAATTGAGTTTAATACATTACTTTTTACAGAATGAACAATGAGTAAATAATTAATGCACTACTATTAATTAAATAGTAGTGAAGGTAGTAGGCATAAATGATATTTTAAGGTACATTAAGGTATTTTTGCGTTCATCAATGTGTAGAGTTACCTTTGACTAAAGATGACTTATACTTTTCTCTTTCTTTGGAGACTGAAGTTGTAAAGGATTTTTGACTCTTCATTGATTCGATACATAGATGAAGCTGAGGAAGATGAATATTTATGATCACAGGTCTTTGTGTGTTTGGTCCTAGGCAACTGGACATACATTAAGAAAAGTGCATGTATTTATATTTTAAAAACATTTCTTATACATGTTTGTAAATGATTTTAAGTATATCACTTTTAGCAACTGATCTAGGAACAAAATGAGAGCACCATGATGGTGCCTTCCTAGATGTAACAATTTACATTGTAGAAATAGATCAAATAGTGTGTGTTTGCTTTTATTTCTTTTAGTTTTGCTGACCACCCTGAATATCCATATTCTGAGGAATATTAACATGGGGACCTAGTCATGACTGCCTGAAATTACTGTTTGTGGACAGTGATGTTGGTGATTTGATTTGGATGCGGTTTGGTGGATGCCTCATTTGCCGTCAACCTAGGCTGCTTGGTAACAGTCATGTTCAGCTGAGGCTCCAGCTAATGGTCTTTAAGAAAAGGGATTTGATTTTCATTGTGAATTAAAATAAATATAACATTTTCTCCTCAAAAGATACTTTATTTCTTTTAAATAAGATAATTTGATAGAAAACTGGTTTATTGGAAGTCTGTGGTTGGTGTTTGAAGATGATGATTTCCATTTTACAAACATTTCAGACTTGGGGTAGGTGGTGTTTCCAGACCAGAGAATGACTCTTAACAGTTGTCTATGAGTCAGCAGTCCTCTAGCCCTGAGTTAACAAGAAAACCCTGCACACTTTCTGTGATTCTCAATCGGAAACATGAGACACACATGGGACCATTGGGTACTGACACCCAAGATTTCTCTACCTGCTTAGCATTAGAATCTTGGAACTGGTGAGTGGGGCATTCCTGAGATAGGTTAGGCTAAAGAGGTGACACGAGAATCAGCCTAATAGAATCATTATAAGTCAGGATGGGAAACATCAGGAGGAGGGAATTGATCTTAGCTCTACCCAAAAATGATGCCAAGGTTGGGTTTTTTACTAATTTTATTTTTCTCTTTTTTTCTTTAAAGATAATTACATCTTACAAACCTTTAAATGTAAACAAACATTTATAAAGAATCATTTAGAGAATTTGGATATAGTTCTCTCCAAACTCCTTCCTGCTTTTTGGTGGGCGAAGTAATTTTTGACGATAATTACAGGGACTTTTCAAGGGGTTTTGGTTCATCAAACCACATTAGTCTATTAGGATTTCACAGGGTCTCCTCTTCTGTGGAAACAAACAAACAAACAAACAAACAAAAAAAAAAAACAGAACCTCTTTTCCAAAGCAACAAATCCTTAGACCCAAATTTTGAAGTCATGATATCTTTAGAACATATATGCTGGCTTAATTTAGCAGCCCACACAATGAAATGTCTCTCTGTATTTATCTTCTTCACAGGCAAAAAAAAAAAAAAAAAAAAAAAGCACAAAAGCACAATAATATAAATAATTTAGACTCTCTGTGAATTTTCCATCTTTACATGGCTTATTATTTTTACTCTATTACTTTTTCTACAAGTTTAATACTTATTATCTTTAATCCATGATTGTCTGTACTCTGTTTCTTTAAAGACTATATCGTATACATAAAACTCCACTTATAAATTCAGTTTGGATGTGATTCAGTTTTAGGCACAAAAATAAGACCTGAGAGTTTATCATATAAGATTATGAGAATTTGATAATTTATTTAAACTTTATATAATAAAGATCTTTAGTTACATGCACAACAGTTCTCATGTTGTAGTCTCATTTACATTTTGTTTAAATTTGCTTGAAATTTTTCCCTTATTCTCAAGGCTCTAAAAAGAGTGACATTTCCTCTAGTTAGAGGCTGCTTGCTTGTTTACTGGCTGCCAAGACCCAAAATAACCACACAGAAACTGTATTATTACAACACTGCTTGGCGTTGTGCCCAGATCCATAGAGTCCCCCTAAAACCAACAAGGAGACAGTGCCCTGCATGTAAAAGCAAAGGGCCTTTATTTTCTGCAAGTTTGCAAACTCGATCCTTCTGTGAGTCCAACATTTTGGAATAAACGTAGAGCCCTGAGCTCAGCTAGAGTTGGATTTTTATAGCAGTAAAGGTGGTGGAGGGGGGGGAGATTTCTAAGGTTCATGATGCCTGATTGGCTGACATTTGTCTAGGGGTGTCCTGATAAATGTGTGCTGGCAGGTGATCATCTCTACAATGGTTGGAACATTAGGCATTTCCTTTGGATGGTGTGTTCCTGAGTGGTGCTCAGGTAATCTCAGTCTGTGGTTCTCCCTTAAACTGGGTATTACTTCAAAGTAAACTACTGAAACTCAGGCCTCCATTAAACTTATCGATGGCTGAGTCTTACCAGTGATAATGGTTAGAAGCAAAGAACTTCCTTTGGGTGGGCTGTTTCTATTTAGCTTATCATGGTTGGTTCCTACTTTTCCCCCATCACAAGCACCAATGACAGGACCCAATCCTGAAAATTTAGAGTTTTACAGTGTCAAATTTAGGGTGTTACTAGGAAGCTTCAAGTTTTCCTTATGTATACATCAGATAAATCATGTAACCCAGGCTAACTGACAATATAGTCTCTTAGTAAGCAGTCAACTGTGTACAGAAACTGTTTTGAGAAGGCTGCTTATTTGTTCCATGCTTTTAAGGAAGAATTATTGGGATCTAAGAACTACTTATGTTAATAAATCTGTTAATTGACAACTTGGGCCTACTTTTCGGGCATATCAGTCAACACTATAGGTAGTTGTTTTGTTCCCTATGCCAGGGAGTTCCCCCTTGTCTCAGCCTTTCAACCTTTTTTGATCAGGGAGCATGGGATTATATGTTAATTTCTGCAACTACTTCAAACTGACATGGGGCATGGTTATCAGGGTCCCAGCAGGTTGAAAGGCTAGCCAAAGGTAGGGAGGGAATTCAGGCAATGTGGCGCTCATCAGACTCTGTTGAAAGGGACAGGGAATGTTTGTATCAGCTGGACTAGTCCACATCAGCTTTCAGAAAGTTCAGGGCTCACCACCAATCAGAGCAGGTTGTTGTCAGCAACCGATGCTTAGATGCATCTTCCAGCCAACTGGAAGCCCATTGGAGATAAGTTTAAACTAGGAACAGAAATTAAAATTTATGTACTTAAAGAAAAATAATACATTATTGAAATCCATATTGTAGAAAAATTGTAGATAACAAGTATCTGTAAACAGAAAGAATAGACTCATACCTTTGAGTTATGGCAAAAACTACAGATTTTGGTTAGAAGCAAGTATATTTTTCTGCTGTCCATAGATACATGTATGGTTTGGGAAGAGATGCCTTTGGCTTGATGAGAAACACCTTTTAGTTAATTTTTAATGGCAATGAGAATAAATCTAAAATCTTAAACTTTTGACCCAAACAGTAACTGGTCATTGTTCTATCAGCTTATTAGAACTATACTATAGGGGGGGGGTGGGAATCAGAAATATTTTCAACATCTTACCCTGTATTTAAATTTTGAGTCATTTTTTAGATCCTCAAAGCTTATGAACCTTTATGTTCTCAAACATTAAAACATTTTTTAGGAATCCTAGTTTAGAATGCACTACCAAGCTGGCTATAGCTTTCTGGAAGGATCTGGATACCTTTTGCTGCTAAATTGACATTATAACTTCCCTAGCCATCAATACTATCAGAGATCTCAGAAGGATAAATAAAGTATATCTGAGTACAAATCAAGTAGTTACTGAATCTGTTAAAAATGACAGGGACAAGAGTCTATATACAGTTAGTCATACCCAGGTCTCCATAGCATTGGAGGCAGAAATATCCAGAACAGCAGTCTTACAGTCTTAGCTATTCCCATAAGATAAAATTTTTTCCTGGGGAAGAGGGACATGGAAAAAACTGACCTTATTTTTTTTAGGCAAAAGTGGTGCAATTAATTCTCCAATGTCCTGCTGTTTGTCCACAGTCTGGACTGGGTCCTGGCAACAGGTGTTGCACTGAGGCACCTTGCCCAGTGGTGAGCATCATTGTAATCCAGGTGGAGACATCATGGTGTCCCATAAACTTCTTTGAGACCTTGGGCTATTGCTAGGATCTCAGAGTCTCTGTCTACTACAATAAGAGTTTTATCATTATTTTAAATGCCATATTCAGCAGATCTCTGATGTATGAGGACTGCCTAGGCATATCTGATTAGACAAACTTTGTTTCTAGTTACTTATTTTAAGTTTGACTTTGAAAACAAATACAGAGAACTTAATAAGGCTTATTCTTGTAACTAATTATATCAGTACTTTAAGGATGACTGACTAACTTGTATTTCCTAACAGTCTATAATAAGTTAGCAGCTTTTACAAGACTAGAACTCAACACTCTGTAATAATTTTTCAATTAAAGCTAATAAAGAAACTGCATTAGTCATTTTGAGGGTAAAAACAGAACAAGTTTTATCTAGCTGTTAATGTTTTCTCCTGCTAAGGCAAGGAAAAGGTCCTCGGGTAAAATGGGAACAGGAGGGAGTCTAAGGGTTAACATTGTCCTAGGGCAAACTGAAACTCAGGTCTACCTTCCTTATGATCTATAGAACCCATCTCGACAGGTCTGTACCAAGTTGCCTGGAAAAGCTGCCTTGGGCTCTATATTTTTCCCCCTTCACAAAGTAGCAATGACAGGACTCAATCATGGATCCTATCTGTCCAGAGCTCAAGTGGGTGATACTGGGACCTCAATATCATCAGTTGAACAGTATTGACCCTTTCTCAAATGAAAGCCTGCGAATGTCTGTTGATGAGACAGGGACCAAGAGTAAGTAGCAGGAGCAAGATGGTTAGGGGGCCTATTAGGTTTGAGAGTAGTGATTAACCAGGGATACCAGTTGAACAAGTTTTCCTACCTTCCAGTTTCCACATGAGCCAGTCTGTTCCCTATCATTAATCCCTTAACTGAATCTCTAATTACCCCAGAGTGATTGACTTAGAAACAACATTCTTCCCCCAAGGCAGCAAATGAAGAGGAGGTCCAAACCTCTTCGATTCTGTGAGGCAATCTCATCCAGGGAATCTAAGGAGGTCTCTAACTTGAGTATAGACTGTTCTATGTTTTTGAGATCTGAATTGATGGCCAACTGTAGGGCCTGGTAATCTTGGAGGATTAAGTCTGAGGTGCCCACCCTCGTAGCTCCACAAATGGCCAGTCCTATCAGGGAAGAGAGCAATATAGCTGTTGCTCCTATAGTCCGTTTTCCCCTGACAGGAACAGGACATAAGGTCAGTTCCATTTGGGCCTCTGTACAGTATTTTATGTTGACAAACAATTAGAGCATCACACAAAATCCTCATCCTCTGTGAAGGACTGTCCCATGGATGCAGGGACTGAGTCCCAACGTGCAAGTCCACCATCCAGC